CGGGGAACTCTGCAAAAAACGCATCTTCGCACGGGCAGCCCGTGCGTTGGCCAATTTTTTTGCTTTGAAATGACTTTTATTCTGTTAGGACTGTTAATTTTTTTTTTTCCTTACTGGCGAAAAGCGTCAGGGTGACATTTTCTTCTTTATTGTCTGCTGAAGATATCTGGGAAAATTGCAGATAATTTTTTTGGTGTCATCAGAAAACTGAGTGGTAGGGGGACAGGTGCTCTAGGCCGTAGTTGAAAACATTGACTGTTTTCGCATGTGAATGCGAACTTGTTATTATGCCCCTCGGATTACGGGCAAGTTTCAACTGTATTTTCGACTTCAGTTTGAATGGCGAACATATATATATATACATATATATACATATATATATGTATATATATGCATATATATATACATATATATGTGTACATATGCACATATATGTACATATACATACATGTGTGTATATATATATATATGTATATATGTATATGTGTATGCTGTGAATATATATGCCATATACACGTATATGTATATATATGCGTATATATATATATATATATATGTACGCATGTGTATATATGTACATATATATACATATATGTATGTATATATACATGTATATATATATATATATATGTATGCCTAATCTCTAAGAATGCGGGAGCTGGGAAGTATGAACTTGAATTTTCTCAGTCATTTGTGAGGCGATAAATGTGTGTATTCGGCTGCGCATTTTATTCACGTCAGTGTTTGTGATCTCTGATCTGGATTAGCTTCTAATTTACGAGCGGATGAAAAGACCGTGAGAGGTGGGAAGACGCTATTTCGCAAATATGTTTCTTGGAAATCACAAGATGGTGTGGGGTAGTAATAGAGGAGAGAGGATATGAATGGAATGCACGTGATATCTCGGCTGGAGGCAGCAGCCGGGAGCGGTGGCAGGGATTATTTTTCGCACCGAAGTGTGTTAGCATTGTGGATTTGTGGGATTCTGGACTGAAAAGTAGCGTGCGACTTGTACAGCATTTGAATTTGTTTTTTTTTTTTTTCCTTTCAAAATTTCGCTGGGAAAAAAACGAAAATTGCACACGATTGTGATCGTCACACAGAAGAAACCCACTAACGAATGCTTTTTGCATAAAAACAGGTGCACAGTTGCGCGGCTGAACCGAGTTTTAGTAGTTGCCAGAAGAGAAGTCAGCCAAAGTCAAAAATTCTGGTAAGCAAAACCTCGAAATTGTGGTTCTCTTCTGTGCTTTAACTCATTGCATTGAATCCGTTCTCCTCTCCCTCCCTTCTCTCCCTCTTTTTCTCTCTTTTGCAAATAAATAACTTTGCTAGGACTTTTAGTGCTGTTTTTCTATGGGGCTTTATTTGTAGGTTACGAAAGTTTTGCTAAAATACGGAGCAAATCCTGATCTTCGTGATGAGGAAGGGAAAACAGCACTGGATAAAGCAAATGAAAAAAGTGAAGAGGGTCATCAGGAAGTGGCTCGAATTCTAGAAAGTCCAAGCGTTTACATGCAAAAAAGTGTCGAAGGTAAGTGTTACCATAATTACTATGTGGGATGCTGAACTGATTTTTGTTTTGTAGGAGTTCTTGATTGTGAACTTTTAAAATCCTTTGTTTTTTCGGGTAAAAATGACATCAGGATCGCTTTGGACGGGCTAATTAAGGGCTGTATCAGTTATCTCGACGGTGTGGTCGATAATGAATAATTTGACAGTCAGCTACCTCCTCGTTATGCCTGCTTCAGCTCAATTCGTTATCGTATTCCCATCTCACTAGCCTCCATTTCAAAAATGCCGAACGGTCATCGCGAGTGTCCGATACGGAATTTGTAGTTTTGACAGGAATTGGGTTTTCTCGTTCCATGAAGGCGTTTGTTAGTTTTGGTATGCGTTTCACTTTTAATTCACGCTTTCTCATTTTAAAATTTAGGAGGGACAGAGAACGATGGAGTGAAAGACTCGACCAGTGCGGAGAGAGTTGGAGAAGCAGTTATTCGCCAGCTTCTGGAACAGCTTTTGCCTGTTCTGTGCGATGTTTATCAGGTGCCACTCGCTTTTCAATTTTCATGCTTGTCGGAAGTGTGTAATGTACTGGACCATACGTTTGTGCACATCCAGCTACATAAGAGTTTGACGTTTGGCTGATGTTACTTGCACTGCACAAATCCATGCCTTTTTTCCAGCTAACTAAATTTTCCCTTTAATTGCGCATTGACATTTTTCATTGCCACGGTATACTTATGTTCTCTCTTACATGTATAAGACTGGTAGTATGTTTGTATACATATCCATATACATGTATATATATATATATATGTATATATATACGTGTATATATATACATGTATATATACATATATGTATGCATATATATGTATAACGTAGAACACAAGAGCTGGAAAGCATAAACATGACTTCTCAGTTTTATACGGGATAGTGAATGTGTAATCAGCCATGTATTTCATTCCCGTCTGTAGTGACCTCGGATTGGTGTCAATTTCTAATTTAGAAGTGGGTGAAAAGTTCATAACAAGTGGGGCATATGCTATTTCCCAAAATCAGCATTTTTTTTTTTTTTTTTTCAGCGATCACTTTGTGCCAGTGTGCAGAAATCGAGCCTTTCTCTACTGCGCAAAACCATCCGCCACATATCATCAGAAGCATTGGAGATATTGGTTTCGAACGATGATGAAGAGGATATCATGACTGACTCAAGCTCCTGTTGTGGGCAGCGACTTGCCGAAAATCTTGTTGGCGTGCTGATGGCCGGCTTTGAGCATGAAAACGATATCGATATACAAGACAACGTTTTGCAGGTAACTGTGCTCATACGTGAAGCGAGCATTTATTGACACAGGCAGATCTTGTATAGCCTCTGCGGCCAAAATCCATGACATGCAAGTGCCCTTTTTGCTGCTACTTGGTTTTTTTATGCGTTTTGTGCTGTGTAACAGCAGTACAAAACGCATATTGTTACGGGGTTGTC